GAATGCATGTATTGTGGCAGGCACCGTGTTAGAAGAGGTGTGAATGTGTCCGTGAAGAGAGAGAGAGAAGAAAGAATGCCTCTGTTAAGATTGTACTAAACCACCCTTCTCTCTCTTTTTCTTTTTTGGGGGTAAATTATTCCATCAACTATAATTAACTATTTTAAAAAGAAACCAGTCACAGTACAATGCCCCTACTTCAGCCTTTGCCAACCTGGTAACCTCCAGATGTTTTGGACTACAACTCCCATCAGCCCCGAGCCAGCTGGCTGAGGCTGATGGGAGTTGCAGTGCAAAACATTTGGAAGGTTGGCAAATGCTGCACTAGTAGTAGATCAGTAGCTGAGGGACCCTGGAGAGTATGAGCAGAACAGAGGTGGGGAGGAGGAGAGGATTTGCTGCAGTTCCTATTTGCTTTTGGCCCATCCTGCCACCTCATTGGCTCCAGTTTTCTGTCTTTCACAGGTATGGCCTTTGTGCCCTCCCGCTTTCCATGTGGGGAGGGCAGATTTGGATCATGGCTCGCATTTTTAAAATCTACCTTTTTTAAAAAAGAAAACACTGCATAGTTGCCAAGTCACACAATTTCACACGTTTATGTCCCGCAATGTTTTATTTTAATTTTAAAAACCAAATTTGTTCCAATTTCGAACTCGTAAAAATACCCGAAAGAGATGCCAGAATTTAATTTAACACAGCTGCCCTGAGGGAATTGCTGTACTTTGCGCTGGGATATAAGTTTCAAAATTTGCACTGATGCCCTGCCTTTACTCCATTAATATTGGTTCAGATATTGCCTAGTTGTGGAGTACAGTCTTCATAAATGTGTTACTAACAGGCAGCTTGTTTGGACTAATGATAAAACCACAGGTTTATCATGACCAGAGACAAGCCACAGTGAGCTGCGCTCCTTAAATGGAGGTAAATATTATGTCTGAATTATGACTGTTGTTATTCATAATTATGGTTAGCTGAAAGAAGATAACTTAGGGGAAGGCGTTGTACCTCAATGGTAGAGCGTCTGCTTTTCATGCAAAGGCCCTAGGTTCAACCTTTAGCATCTCCAGGTAAGCATAAAGGTAAAGGTAAAGGGACCCCTGATCATTTAGGTCCAGTCGTGACCGACTCTGGGGTTGCGGCGCTCATCTTGCTTTATTGGCCGAGGGAGCCGGCGTACAGCTTCCAGGTCATGTGGCCAGCATGACTAAGCCGCTTCTGGCGAACCAGAGCAGCACATGGAAACACTGTTTACCTTCCCCCCGGAGCGGTACCTATTTATCTACTTGCACTTTGGCATGCTTTCGAACTGCTAGGTTGGCAGGAGCAGGGACCGAGCAACGGGAGCTCACCCCATCGCGGGGATTCGAACCGCCGACCTTCTGATCAGCAAGTCCTAGGCTTGTGGTTTAACCCACAGCGCCACCCACGTCCCTAAGCCAAACTATGCCTTAGCATGAATGAGCAAATGTGCTGGTGCATAATAATAATATAAAAAGCCACTGCTTTGTCCCTCTTCTGCTGTTCCCCTGTTACTGAGAGAACTTGAGCTCGTGAATTGTTTCACTCCAAACAAACCATGAACTGCAGCCAAAGCTTGTTCTTAGTTTACAATTCATGATTTATTTGGGGAGAGACAAACCATGAGCCTGCCTGGGTTCATGTACAAACCATGGCTTAGCTCCCATTAGCATGGCAGCAGCGGGAGTCAGGGAGCTTCATTGCTGAGTGGGGATTCGAACCCTGCTCTTCCAGGTCCTAGTCCAACACTCTAACCATTACGCCACCCAGCATTCTTTGATCACTGAGCATGCCTCGTATACATTGGACTGTTTTAGGTGTGGCATTCCTCCCCCCCCAATATATTTTTCTGACTTTCCTTGTGTGTAGATGGTTCCATTTGGGGTACATGATGATGATGATGATTTGGGGTACACTCACCTCTGAACTTCAGATATAGAGTGAAGGTTCATGAATCCTATTATTGTGAGCCACCTTGAAGAGACTGCAAAGTGAAAAAGCAGCAAATACTTTAAAAAGTTCCAGTTCTCAACAGATCCTGTAATTGATAAGGGAATTAAGTGCATATTTGATGTTGCAATACAGTTGGATACTAGCACAGTGTTAAATCCTATTCTTTTTCGGTGAGAGTAACTCCTCTTGGAAGGATTTTTTGAATTTTGAATGATTTAGAACATTTTCTAAAAAAAACTTGTGACTGAAAGCTGGAAAGTGTGTGTGTGTGTGTGTGTGTATGTGTATCTAAATGGGGAAGTGTTTTATCTGGGCTTGGCAGCTGCTGTAGAATCCTCACTATCTTTTTTGCTCTGTCACTGTTGTCCACTTTGCACATCCATGAAGAAAAAGAGCTGTTTTTCACGACTTTGCAGAGCAAAATAGGAGGAGAGTTGTCCTGAAACTACAGGAATGCTAAACATCCAGGCTTGTTTGATTGCCTGGCCATTATCAGAACTGTGCTGTCCTTCCAAGCTGTGCTTTTAAAACCTTCCCTTTGTCTAGCTTTCCCCCTTTAAATCAAGTTGAGGCCCAGTCCACTTACCTGGTTTCCAGGTGAGGAAGTTCTGACGAGTTGTTCTGTTGTTTCTTGGGGGGAAATGTCGTTCATTTTTCATCAGGTAGGGCTTGTGTATACTGTACTGTGTATACTCTTTTCAGGAGAAAGCAGACCCTGTCTCAGCTCTCTGCCTGATCTGTTTAGACACCAGTGACTATACTGCATTCATAGAAGGCAGTTGCTTATTTTTTTATTAATAAAACTGCATGTTGCATAAGAAAAATACAAAGAGCAGATGGTTTATGAATGTATTCATAATTCACAGCTTAACAGAATATGCATTTAAAGTAGCAAGATAACATCTGACCGTGTTTTTTTTTTTTAATGGAAATCTTGGAGGGGATTAAACACACTGGGACAAATTGCATCTATTTACTTAGAGACAGTTTGAGTGTGGAGGTTAGTTTCCATTGTACCATTAAATTTAGCATCTATTTAGTAAGCTGGGCTAGTTAGTATACAGAGTATCGCGATACACTCTTTGCCAGGAATGCTTACAGTCCGTGGGTGAATAATAAAAGTCATTTATTGAGTGGCAGCTTGCCACAGGAGCCCCTTTCCAGTTGGGTTGGGATTCAGCTACAGGTCTTCCTGGTTGTCGTCCAACACACTAACCACTACAGCACACTGCCTCTCCAAATAGGAACATATACCAAGCCAGACTAATGGTCCATTTAGCTCAGCATTGTCAATTGTGCATTGATGGGCAGTGGCTCTTCAAGGCTCCAGATAAGGAGATGCAGCAGATTGAATTTGGAAACTTTTGCATGTCCTCTGCTTACAGGCTACAGTCCTTCCCGGGTCTTTGACGCAGAGTTTCTGGAGAGGGGCAGGTGGGCATGTGGCCAGCAAAGGTGTGAACAGGACAGCTTCATTACACTGACAGGACCACTGCTTTATTTTAGCGTGGTGGGCTCCAAATGTACCTCTGTGGCTGGGACTCTTCCCCTATATAGCATCTCATTTGACTGTGTGCCTACAGATCCGGTCTGCCAGCAAACCTGTTGTGGTGGAGATCAGTGGTTTATAATATATGCTTGTTCTCCGCAGGGACTGTTATTTGTAGCCAAACTGCCACCTGCCAAATGCAGAGTATCAAATTATCCTAACAGTTTCCCTCCTTCCGCCACAGTTTTTCCATACAACTGAGAAATAACCCGGGACAGCTCCACCCCATTCATTTAATGATGGGGGGCAATGCCCAGGTCATGCTGCTTGTTCTCCATGCTAAGTTTGCACCTGAAACTGCAGTAAAAAAGGAGCTTTTCGAAAATAAGCCACAGTTGTATTAGGAACAGCACAACATTGGTTCTCCCTTGGATACTTCTTCCTTTTTAGTTCTGTCCTAATTCAAACGGTCCCAGACCAAAGTCTTAACTTGGTGTAGCAGCCAGATCTCTTGGCATCTATGAAACTTGGATGAAAACAGGGATAAGCAGACCAGTTCCTATATAGGGGCTTTGAGTCAGTGAGTGCTGTACAGTGACATTGTACAGTGGTACCTTGGGTTAAAAACTTAATTCGTTCTGGAGGTCCGTTGTTAACCTGAAACTGTTCTTAACCTGAGGTACCACTTTAGCTAATGGGGCCTCCCACTGCCACTGTGCCGCCGCCACATGATTTGTGTTCTCATCCTGAAGCAAAGTTCTTAACCCGAGGTACTATTTTTAGGTTAGCGGAGTCTGTAACCTGAAGCATATGTAACCTGAAGCGTATGTAACCCGAGGTACCTCTGTACTGGGTGAGCTGCTCATGGAGGACATAAGTGGGGCATAGTTTTTATTCCATGCCAGTTCTCTGCAAATGATCTTGCATCCCACTTCAGTACCAACTCTTCTGTTCTGAAGACAGTGCTCACAGTAACCTGTGCTGTCAAGGTGGGCTTTCCACTTCTGGGGCCCCCACAGTCCCATCCTGGGTAGGGCTCTTGCGCCTTTTCAACATCTGCGCAAGAAATTCAGCAGAATGAAGCATTGCTTTCCATGAAATGCAGGGATTTCATTCACCTGTTGGATTACTGTCTGTAATGCTAGTGCGAAAGACTGAGGAGCCCTCCAGACAGGGAAGACAGGTTTTTTTCTAGAACCCCAAGATCTGCCTACTAAAAAGGCAGGAGCAACAGACATTTCGCTCAGGGATTCTTGGAGCACATTCCGAGTTTAGGAATTGGTTTGCATTACTAATTGCTGTTTTTAAAAAGCCATTTTGTTGGTGCTATTGTCAAACCATTGCTGAGCCAGAAACCCTTGCTGATCTACTGCAAATCTACCAGTAGATCCTGCAGTATACAGTAATTTGCAATGTGGATTCTTTGGTGATGGCAGCAGGAGGGAAAAAAAGGCAGGGAGGGCTCCCAAACCAAATAGGATAGGTGTGCTGAGTATAGGTTAACTCCTCCTCCTTTCTGCAAACTAATGCACTACCTCTTAGAGTGGTGCACTCTCTGTGTCTGGGTCAGGCTCACTTTGTTGAAGAAGCTTTGTCTGAGGGGATGAAACCAGTGTGCTGGGAGCTCACCTGTTGCCCCGCAGCCTCAGAAGAGAATCGGGTGAGTTTGTTCTTCATGTTAGAGACAAGTGGTGGTTTTTCAGAAGTTTTTGGAGGCTGGAATCGCATGATCCTGCTGTTTCTTAACTGTGTGCTGTGTTTTCCTGTTTCATCCTGTTAATTCTTCTGGTCTCCCTCCCCCCTCCCCCTCCGTGAAGAGAGAGACAAATGTTTTGAGAGAAGCAGAATTTCACATCCAAAGCTTGACAGCTGTGTGACATATAATTATTGAAATATTGCAGCAGGAAATTCTACTGGGGACACATTCCCCCCACCCCATAAACTACTATAGTAGGGGAAAGGAATTATGTGGTAGCCAGGGATTTCTCTCAGTTTCTGCCTCTTAACACATCCTTGCTTTCAATGTGTGCCAGTAAATCCAGGCTAAAGGGTATGAATTTAGGCTTGCATGTGAGAGAGAACATCAGGATCCTGGGTTTTGACTTGTCTGGTGTTTAGTATTGAAGCAAAGCAGAATAATAGACTTGTCATCTAGTCCAACCCCGTGCAATGCAGGAATCTTTTGCCCAATGTGGGGCTCCGACCCAGGACCCTGAGATTAAGAGTCACATGCTCTACCGACTGGGCTATGCTCTTGATCTTGGTGAGGGAACTGCAGAAACTGGAGAGACCTAGAAGATTGTCTGGTTCAGGCTTTACCAGTTTCCCCAATAAGTACTACAGTGGTACAGTGGTACCTCGGGTTAAGAACTTAATTCGTTCCAGAGGTCCGTTCTTAACCTGAAACTGTTCTTAACCTGAAGCACCACTTTAACTAATGGGGCCTCCCATTGCTGCCACGCCACCTGAGCACAATTTCTGTTCTCATCCTGAAGCAAAGTTCTTAACCCGAGGTAATATTTCTGGGTTAGCGGAGTCTGTAACCTGAAGCGTATGTAACCTGAAGCGTATGTAACCCGAGGTACCACTGTATATGAATCAGTGTGCTACAGTATCTCAAATGTGTGTCCTCTAACCATCCCTGTCATCTGGGGAACTTGTTAAGAGAACTTAACAGGACTTAGTTAATGCGTAAGATCAAAAGTTCTCAACACATCCTTCATCACAGTCCGTGCTTTCATCTTCAGTTGAATCATATAGGGCTGATGAATTCAAAGCGCTTGTGACTGTGTGTGGGAAGTAATCTCATACCAGTGCTCCATCTAACCATCCTAATCAACAATGTAATTAGCAAAATGGTGTCCTTTATATGTACGGAGGGGGGTATGTGGATGAGTGGGTTCATTCGCCGACTGAGTAAATCTTGCAGATGTGAAGAACTGACGCTTGCCAAGTGGGTCACTACTCAGAATTATTAGAAAATAGTCGGTGGAGCATGAGACTCTTAATTTCAGGGCCAAGGGTTTGAGCCCCACATTAGGTGAAAGATTCCTGCATTCCAGGGGGTTGTGGTCTCATCCAACTCTACAAGTCTGTGATCCTGCAAGAAACATGACTTGGGGTGTAAATAGTTTTATCCTTTCCAGCTTTGAAAGCTGGGGAAACTTCCTCTCATCTGCATGATGATATCTGCCCACATTCCAACCCTCTCCCCTCTGCAGTTAACAGTAAAGATGGGTTTCCATATTCGAGGAAGAAAACAAACCCATTGGGAGTCTATAGCATCTCCCTTTAGGAGATGAAGGATCTTCAGTTGGCTTCCATCCTCAAAGTGCCGTGCGCTAACTTTCCCCCTGTTTTGCTCTACATGGCTTGTGTATCTTCTCCCTCTACCTTGGTCATGGTTTCCCCCTAAGCGTACGAAGGAAATGTGCTCTTCTGTAGTCTCATTAAAAACCATGAAGATGGGTGAGAGGTGAATGAATTGTTTGGAGAAGGGAAGGATGTCAGGCATGAAAATGTCTGCACCGGTTATGTGTAGAATGAAGATGACAGCCCCATGAACTTCTCAACTCCAAGCAAAGCCTTTAAGGGCCGTAATTGCTTCTCCGGGGAAAGGTTGGTGTGCCTGGGATACAGTTGTGCACACAGGCTTTCTCCAAAGCCACATAAATTTCAGGTAGTTAACTAACTAATAGGAGTTGGCTTCTTCTGGGTTATTCCTCTGTATATACGATGACCTCAGAAGAAGTTAGAGAGGCGTGGGCCTTGCGGATTACCTGCACGCATCATGCAGCTGTTTGCCTTGGTTGGCTGTTGGAGAACGTAACTCAGTGACAGGCCTGTCATCACTTTCCCAGCTGAGATAGGTAAGTCTTGATGTGGCAATGTCTCCGGAGAGTCTGCAGGGAGAACGCCTTGCAAATGAGAGGTGCCGCCGGCCAGCTCAGTAAAGGCAGAACTCTTCATATTTTAACACTTGAAAAATTCAGGCAACTTTTCCATTAACTGCTTCCCAAACCCCGAATGTTTGCGGTGTATGGTATCTTGGTCCCCCTTTTAAACTTTGTTTTAGAACAGGCATAGGCAAACTCAGCCCTCCAGATGTTTTGGGACTACAACTCCCATGATCTCTAGCTAACAGGACCAGTGGTCAGGGATGATGGGAGTTGTAGTCCCGAAACAGCTGGAGGGCCGAGTTTGCTTATGCCTGTTTTAGAAGTTTATCATTTGACTTTTAAACTGAACATCACTGTGATGAGCCCATGAGGATACTTCTCCTGAAAGGCTTTTAAAATACTTTAATTAAGTCAATTAATAAAATTTGACATGGGCAGGTTTCATGATGATAACAAGTGCTGGGTACTGGCCATTGGTTTAATTCTCCTGAACAAACCCATTCAGATGTCCGTGGTCTGCTCAAGAGAGGGATGCTTCCTAAGTCACATGGGCTCTGCGTCATTGTGTGTCCCGTTCTAGGAAACGGGACTACCTCAAGCTGTCTTGAGAGGGCTGTTTCCTGCCTGCTTTTAAGGGTGTTTCTCACTTAAGATTTCTATCCCTTTTATTAAATGACCCAAAGAGTCCAGAAAGGAAGAACAAACCTTAAATTTGGAAGAATACTGTATTCCTCTAAGAAAAGGGAGTATCTGTGGGCACCAGACGTGTCTGATTCATACGTTGTGGTTAAGTGACCTCAGAAAACCCCCCACTTTTTAGCATACCCTTTTAGAAGGCTGTAGAATTCTTATTTACAGCCTGCCATATAATAAGTCAGACTGTTGGTTCATCTCGCTCCATACTGTCTACTCTGACTGGCAGCAGCTATCCAGGATTTCTGGCAGGGATTTCTCCCAGGCCTACCTGGAGATACCAGGGATTGAATCTGAGACCTTCTGCATGCAAAGCAGATGTCCTACCATTGAGCTGTATTCCTTCCACATCTCCCTAACTCCAGTGGATTTTGACATAGAAGCACAAAAACTGTAAATGCCCATGATCTTTGCATGCTGGTTCAGGAACTGGTAGGATACGTTTGCCCCAGGTTTTTTTTTGGGGGGGGGCATTTGAGTGCATGTGATGCACACTGGATTTTGGCCTCTAACAGAAGACTAAACTTGCTCATTGTGGAAAGTTTGCTTGTTCTTAGTCCCCTTAGTAAGGGAAAACTGCTTTGCAGCCTATATATTGTTGGTAATAGCCTCAGAGCTCCAGCAAAGACACAGTGGTTTAAGGATAAACTGCGTGTTAAAGGGATTCATTATGATGGAATATTAAACTTCCAGTTTTATAGCAACAGGTAAGGCATGTCTTAGAGACAGTACCGCCACCTACTGTTATATTTTGGTGTTTCTCTTAACTTGTTTCTTAGCAAAGGTGGATTGTGTATCAGGCACATGATGGTTAGGGTTAAAGTTCTCTCTCAAAAGAAGTGTATGCTTATTTGTCTGCATGCTTCTTTGCTCTTATCATATACATGACTGAGCAGTTGCCTGGTAGAGAGGGGAAATGTTTGAAAGGCAAATAAATGGAAGTAATTTGGGCATCAGATTAATCAGTATATTAACTACAATCAGAGTCTAGTGGGTTGGTTTTATTGGAGGATATGGAACAAAACAGCATCTGTTTCGTCCAGCTATGTGCCCTCATTTTGACAACCAATAAGAAGGTCTGGTGTGTTTTCTTTGCTGGGAAGGGCTCAGGAGGAAGCTTTGAGTTTGAATGGGAGCAGCACTGGGAGGATGCCCTGGGGACAGTGGGTGTCACAGCTAGTTCCTCAAAGGACTGGGGTGGGCACAGGTCTATGCAACCAACTTTGCATAAAAGCTGCATATGCTAATTTATATATGTTTATCTGGGTTTAGGCCCAAAGCCATTCTGTAAGCAAAGAGAAGAAATGTTTTTAAAAGTGTGTGTGTGTGTGTGTGTGTGTGTGTGTGAAGGATCCAGGGCCCATCGCAAAAGACCAGGTTCTTCGTCAACCCCTTAAATACACTTTTGTCTTATTTTTATGAAACCCGTTTGGAAGGAGGAGGAAGCCTCAGTTCTCTCTCTCCCCCCCCCCCCCGTTTTGCTAGCAGGGCCTTTAGCAAAAAGCAAAAATTAAATAGAAAAGTCTGCCTCCTTTGCTTCCACATAATTTACTTGTTCATGGTTCTTAATGATCGTTTCCCTCCCACTCGTTTCACTCAATATCCAGCATATGCCACAATATTCTATTTAGCAATTCCTAAGCAGCACTGCAAGGGATGCGGGTGGTGCTGTGGGTTAAACTGCAGAGCCTAGGGCTTGCCGATCAGAAGGTCAGCGCTTCGAATCCCCGCGACGGGGTGAGCTCCTCTTGCTCGGTCCCTGCTCCTGCCAACCTAGCAGTTCGAAAGCACGTCAAAGTGCAAGTAGATAAATAGGTGCTGCTCCAGCAGGAAGGTAAACAGTGTTTCTGTGCGCTGCTCTGGTTCGCCAGAAGCAGCTTAGTCATGCTGGCCACAAGACCCGGAACTTGTACGCCGGCTCCCTCGGCCAATAAAGCGAGATGAGCGTCGCAACCCCAGAGTCGGCCACGACTGGACCTAATGGTCAGGGATCCCTTTACCTTTACGCAGCACTGCTGTTCTAATAGTACAGGTATGTAGTAATGGCACTTCACATCTTCTCTCTCCGCAACAAGTTCATTCTTCATGAATGAAAATGCAGCAGGTTGGAAACTTGCTAAGCTCAATCCTATTTGTGTTTCTTCCGTATCAGACTTAAGGGGCAGTGGCGCTTACCTGATCTCTGGGTGGTTGTATTCAGTGCTATTTTTCTAGAAAAAGAGGTACTGGAACTCAACACGGATGTCTCCTTTCTTCTCTTACGATGGCAATAGAGCTCACCTGAGTCGTGCCGGAACTGAGTTCTGGCTGGGAGAAAAAACCCCTGGTTGTGTTGCTGTTGCCAGAGGGTGGTGAGTTTGGCTTGGTGCAACCATCTGCCACTGTGTTTCTTTAAAAGTAAGTGTGTGTGAGTTCAGTGGGACTTACTCCCCAATAGGTGCAGAAAGGGTTATATACCCTTGCAGTGCCATCATGTCCATATTTACTTGGAAGCCTGTCCTACTGAGTTTAATGTCTATGCATGTTTGAAACATAAGAACAGCTCTCCGTGATCAGCCCAAAGACCTATCGTTCAGCATCCTATTTCCCATGTTTGCCAACTAGATGTTTCCTCTTTTAAAACCGAACTAGTGGCCATCACCACATTCCCAGGGCAGTGAATTCCGAAGATGAATCATACACTGTGTTTATACTTCCTCTTCTAAGTCCTGGATTTCCTGCCAGCTCGCTTCATTGGAGGACCTCCAGGTCCAAGTATGATGAGAGATAGAGAAAGTCTTCTCTGTCCACTTTTTGCACAAAGTACATAATTTTACAAACCTCGGTCATGTCTGCTTTACTCACATTTTTTCTTTTAACTGAAAAGACTTGGATGTAAAGGAGATGTTTTAGCCCCCACTCCACCCCACCCCACCATTCTAGTTGTTGTTCTCTTCACTTGTTACAGTTTTACAATGATTTATTTGAGATTTTATGGCTGGAACTGTACACAGTACACAGTGTGTGGCCGCACCATAGAGTTGTAGAAGGGCTTTATAATTCTGGCAGTGCAGTGATCCGTTTTGTAATGATTGCTAGCATGAAAATTGCCTTTTCCATAGCCTTTTTCCATAGCTGCTGAAAACTGAGCTGGCCTTTTCGCTGAGCTCTCCACCCTAACTCTGGATCTCGTTCTTGGTTTGTGAGGATTCTTTTGCCCAAATGTGCATCGTTTTCTATATTTGCTCAGTGACCGGTAGTGCTTTGAAGCATGGCAGATCAGCTGATCCTTGCACTTCAAAAGGGCTCCTTGCAAGCCCCTTCAAAGATTAGCTGGCTATGGAGCTCCCCATGAGGAACTTAGTAGTGCAGCTGATTCCAGGGAGCTTGAGCTGAGCACCCATCAGCTGATAAGAGCTGACTTCAAACTGTTTTTCTGCTGTGCCTGGTGGCCAGAGCAACTCAGCTAGGACTGACTGTGCTGTTGGCCAGCCAGCTGACTGACTGACTGGTGGTGAGAGAAAGTCTCCCTTTCCAATTTACAGTTGGGAGCACAATTTAAGGCTCTTTCCTGACTGTGCATTGGCAGCTGCAGCTGCACCTGCCCCTTTCCTGAGGATGTCACGTATGACATCAGGTGTGGGGCAGGTGGGCATTGTGTGTGGGTATACAGCCTTGTGGGCCAAATTGGGATCTGTGCCAAGCCTGAGAAGGCCCGTGAGCCAGAGATTCCCAACCCCTGATTTAGCCAGGTGGAGGAAGATCATTCTTTATTGGGAACAAGGAAGCTGCTGTTAAAACATGTTTTGAAGGTGGGAAAGAGTTGCAGTGAGGGCGAGAGGAGTTTGCTTTATGGTTTCATAGCAATCTAGCAGTGTTTCCACTTCAGAAAATTTGCTACTGATGTATGTTATGCTCAGTTTTTCCCCTCTCTCTCTCCTTCTGCAGAATGTGAAGCACTGGAAGATGTCCAGGCTATTAATCTTCTCATCCTGAGCCAAAACTCTTGATTTTTACCAGCGAGCAACGTTTCAGAAGTTGTCCACTGCTGGCTATAACATGGCTGCAGACCTTTTGCTACTGAGCCATAAAAGAAAATATAGGACTCTGAAATCCTGCTCTGGATCACCCTGAGGAGAACAGTGTTAGGTGCGCACAACTCTCTGATGTTGCGGTGCAACGGTGGCATGGCTCAGAGGGCCTGGGTCAGCATGCTCTTCCAGAACCGCAAAGCCCAGCTATTACTGGTCAACTCCCTGACTTTTGGCTTGGAAGTCTGTCTGGCTGCCGGCATCACTTATGTGCCACCTCTCTTGTTGGAAGTGGGAGTGGAGGAGAAGTTCATGACTATGGTTCTGGGTAGGTGGTATTATTCATGTTATTGTTAGATGGCCATTTTCTGTGTGAGATCTAGTGTGGTGGAAAAGAAGAATACTGTAGTCCCGCTATGTACAATGCCCATTATTGTTGTATGTACAGGGAGGGCCTCAATATGGTAATGACCCCAGAGGACCTGCCAGGCAGGTTTAAGAGAGAACTAGACTAGTTTTCAGGGAATGACATAGCTGTCAACCTTCCTTTTTGCGGGAAATTCCCTTATTCCAGCACCGTTTCCCGCTGCTATCCTGGATTGTTAGATATCCTGTAGACTGTCCCGGGACAGGTGAGGCTGCTGATCCCTTATTTTTGAGGCTGCTGATCCCTTATTTTAAATCTGAAAGTTGACAGCTATGTAATAGTGAATTCATTTTGGATACCAAACATGAGGGCTTCTAAGAGCCTGAATTCCAGGAGGAAGAGAAGACAGTTTTAATTGTGCGCTGGAAACTGGGGCTTTATCTGTAGTGAAACGGAATCTCTAGATATGGTGCACACTTGTAATGCATGCCCACTTAGTGAAACTTGAGGCCTAGTTTGCATGTCATGGTAAGCCACTAACTATGAGCAGTAGCCAAGGTTTAGTCTGGTTTGGGTGGTACAAGAGGTACAAGACTAAAAAATAAATCAGGAAGCAGCAAAGTGGCTATGCACCTCTCCCTGGAAGCCTGCAGGTTTGCTTTTTTTAATACTATGTTTTTATGTTGTGACAGTGACTGGCCCAAGGCCACCCAGTGAGCCTCATGGGGTTGGGGCCAGAGCCCTGCTTTTCCAGGCCAAAGTTTCCCCAGATTCTATGAGTGATCTCATGGGCCTATAGAGTGAATATCTTGTCAACTTCTTCCAGCTGATGAAATGATGTTATTTTCCTCCCATTAATTCCAGGGATTGGGCCAGTTCTGGGCCTAGTGTTTGTGCCACTCATCGGTTCCGCCAGCGACCAATGGCATAGCAGCTATGGCCGCCGCCGGCCTTTCATCTGGGTCCTGTGCCTGGGAGTTTTACTGAGCCTTCTGATCATCCCTCATGCACAACGCCTGGCCAGCCTCATTGCCTTGGATACCCGCTCCCTGGAGATCGCCTTCCTTATCATGGGCATTGGCCTGCTTGACTTCTGTGGCCAAGTCTGCTTCACCCCTCTGGAGGCTCTTCTCTCCGATCTCTTCAAGGAGCCCGACAACTGCCGGCAGGCCTTCGCTATGTATTCCTTCATGATTAGCCTGGGAGGCTGCATTGGGTACCTGCTGCCGGCAATTGACTGGGACAGTAGCTTCCTGGCGCCTTACCTGGGGAGGCAGGAGGAGTGCCTCTTCAGCCTCCTCACCATCATCTTCCTCAGCTGCGTCTTGGCCACTGCCTTTGTCACGGAGGAAGTGGTAGCTCAGGTAGAAGTGCTGGCGGGCCCTGCAATGAAGGATTCCTCCAAGTCCCCGCCTCTGGCCTGCTGCTCTTGCTGGCTTCCAAAGAACTTTCTGAGGACCAGGCATCTGGTCCAGGCCTTCCGGAGCCTTTGCGCCTTAGCCCCACGCCTGCACGGAGTCTGCTGCCGCATCCCCAAGGTCATCCGGCAACTTTTTGTGGCCGAGTTCTGCAGCTGGATGGCCCTCATGACCTTCATGCTGTTCTACACGGACTTTGTTGGGGAAGGACTGTATCAAGGAGTTCCCAGAGCTGAGCCAGGCACAGAAGCCAGGCGACACTACGATGAAGGTAATTTGATTTCTGGGGGGGATAAATGCTTTATGCTTATGTCCTTCCAGTACAGCAAGTTTCAGCACCTAGACCCTTTGAATTATGCAACAGGAAAACTCTTTCTCCTACCTCTGATAACTTATGCAAGCAAAGCAGACTTTCATAAAGTTACCCTTTCTATTTACTGCAAATTCTTGGTTCTTGCTCAACATGGGATTCTTTGGGAAGGAGGCAGGAAGTGGAGTGAAAGAGGAATGGGTGGTGGAATGAGGCCAGCTGGTTTCAGTGTGGTCCTGTGATAGTGTTGGCTCTAGATCTGGGAAACCAAGTTCTAAAACCTTATTCAGCAGTGCAGTTGCTGAATTGCCCTGGTTTAGTGATCATCCTTAGAGCCTGAATTCCCCCACTGTGTTATAAAGGAATCTTTTCCCCACCCCAAACATCTAAAGACAGGTGTTTTTTAAAAAAATAATAACTGGGAGACTCATTGGCCTGTAAAGTCATTTCTATGCGTGACGAGAGCCAAGTTGGGAGATGGGAAATCTGTGGCCCCCTAGATGTCCTTTGTCATTGGCCGTGTTAGTTGGGGCTGATGGAAGTTGGAGCCCCAACAACATATGAAGGGGCACAGGTTCCCTGTTCCTGGTGTATGTGATTTGAAAGAGAAGACCTCAAAAACATAGGATGTGCTAGCCACATGAAACTTAAGAATATCTTTCTGCAAACCACTGTCTTGTTAAGATCCTATCAGGAGCAGACTTTGCTAATCTTTTGCAATATGGTGCCCTGTGCTAGACCAAAATTTGGTGCGCCCCAAATGGATCTTCACAATTTTGTGTCCTCTCGGCTTGGCACCCTATGCGGTGAGCCACCCATGGCGCCCTAAATCTGGCACCGATCCATGAAACCCCCCTTGGGTGGTGGTGGGAAAAGACAGCTAAGGAGTGTAGCTTACCATTCTCGTTTGTACAACAGAGTTGCGGGTGTGCCTTCTACAGAGTAATACCAGACCAGAGTACTACTGAACTAGGTCCACTGTTGGACCAAGTAGAGTACTAATGACTGAATCTTGGACAGAAGTATATTTATTATCTTGCAAACCAAGACCATTTTTGCAATGAAGGGGACTGAGCCAGGGACCTCATATGTACAAAGCTGTACAGCTTTTTAATTGCACTTAACTAATGCATTAAATCTAGCTGCCATCCTCCAGCACATAAAGTCACTCCTATGGAGCATATTCTCTGCTCAGTAAATTCATTTGTTGACCTGGGCTCCTTTGGGAAGAAAGATGGTATATCAGATTAATAATGAATAAGCAAAATTGCCTTTCGTAAGAGCAGCTTTGGACATTATTTTGCCATGAAAGCTCCCTGTGGAGGTTAATAAGGAAATGTGGAGTGTTAGCATCTCAAAAGGAATTCAGCATTTCTTCTGCAGACTTCCCCAAGCTGGTATTCTCCAGACATTTTAAGCTACAACTCCCATCAGCTCCAGCTAGATTCCCTTTTATGTTGCATGGACTTTGGAGACCAGCAAGGAGTAAAGCCAGAGATAGCCAATGTACTGCCCTCCAGATCTTACTGGGGCACAACAGCTATCATCACTGGCTACGTTGGCTCTGGCCAAAGGGAGTTGTGGGCAAACATAACCCAGAGAACACCTGTTGGCAACCCCTGATCTATTGCCTCTTCTCCTTAACTTAAAAGGGTGCTTTGGTAATAGGCTTTCTTGAATACTTCTGCTAAAGCTACTTGGCCCCTTGCCTACCTGTTGTTCCCATATAATAGTTCATTTCAAGGTCTGGGTGACCCAGCTTAAATGTAAGTAATATTTAACATTTATATCCTGGTGGTGCCTTTGAGGCTCTGCAGAATTGGAGGGTCAATTGTGTACACACAATGATGCTCAACAATCTCAGAGCCATGGCCAATGTCAAGTTGTTTTATGGGAAATACGTAAATAAAGGAAAGTCCAGGTCTTCAGAGGACATTGTCCTATAAATTAATAAACAAATCTGTGGATGTCTTGGACTATACTTACCTCCTTAAATGAACATGATGACAAATCCTGTAACTGAAGTCTACTTAGGCCTGATGACTTTGCATGTAGGTCATCTGTTGGTTCTGCCAAGAGGAGTGACAGATGTCTTCTGGACTCTGTGTTGGCCCTTCCATTGCTATTGAAGCATATTTCGTTTTTAATGCATTCATATTTTTATCCTGCCCACCTCTTAATTGTGAAATGGGAACTTCTATACTGGAACAGTTAAGAAACGCTTCTTAAAAATTGATAAGACTGAAAGCTGAACTAGCACTCAAAGCATTGCAGCTATTTGCCTTTATGAACCTGGCTATCTTGTTATTGTGGCCCCTGGCTCTTCTCCATTTCACCCAATGTACACACGTCTCTTCTCAGGGATTCGGATGGGTAGCCTGGGCCTCTTTCTGCAGTGCATCATCTCCATCATCTTCTCGACAATCATGGACCGGATGGTGAAGCAGTTTGGGACACGAATGGTCTACCTAGCCAGTGTGGCCTTATTCCCGCTGATGGCCATCATCATGTGCTTCTCTCAGAGTGTTGTCATCGTCACTGTTTCTGCTGCCCTGACAGGCTTCCCTTTCTCAGTGCTGCAGATCTTGCCGTACACACTGGCATCGCTTTATCATCATGAAAAACAGGTGGGGATGTGTATGTATATGTGAGAGAGAAAGTCCAGAGAGTCTTGACCAAAGTGGTTTTAATAGGGCCTAACAACTATGTGACTCATGTCTCTGAGCCATTTACATCTTGGGGTAGATCAGCCTTCTTTTTTTGCCTCACTAGTGGTAGTGAAGATTGAATAATCCATTGGTTTTTAAAGCAGGAGTGGGGAACATCTGGCCCTCCAGATGTTTCTGAGCTCCTACTTCCATCAGCCCTAGCAAGCAAGGACAATGGTCAGGGATGATGGCAGCTGCCTTTTACAGCTAAATTCTCAATGACCTCAATGGGGTGCTTCCATCCTGGGCATCAAATGTGGCCCTCTATTTCTGTCTATCAGGACCTTGGGGTTCTCACTTGCCAAAACCCCCTCCTCAGGCAACACCACCATTGGCCTTGCTCTGTGCCCTCTTAATGGGCTTTTGCCTGTCTAGAAGGTCCCCCTGGACTGTGATATGGGATAATAACTCTTGCTTACTTAACTGGAGGAGTGTGTATACAGTCGTACCTTGGAAGTCAAACGGAATCCATTTGAATTCCAAAACGTTCAGAAACCAAGGCACAGCTTCTGATTGGCTGCAGGAAGCTCCTACAGCCAGTTGGAAGCTGTGACAGACATTTGGGTTCCAAAGAATGTTCACAAACCGGAACAATCACTTCCGGGTTTGCTGCTTTCGGGAGCCAAAATGTTCGTCTCTCAAGGCATTTGACTTCCGAGGTAGGACTGTCTGTGGAAATCTCTGAATTTTGTGCTGACAGGATGTTTACTTAGCTCTGCGGTGGATGCAAGCCATAATCCAGTGTTTTAATAATTCTAACTATGTTACACTCTCACTATAATCGTGTTAAGCAGTTGTTACAATGCTTACATGTCACTGTATTACCTAATTGTCGTGCTATTAAGTGATATAATTACAGTACTGCATCTTGTTCAGGTTGTGCTGGAGGCAGATGTCCCTCTCCTTACTGAGTTACCCCCTCTTGGGAGGCTGTTACTGCTCTCTAAGCTTCTTTCTCCTTTGCCTGTTGTCAACCCTTTGTGTCTATTTCCATCGTTTGTTTGTTTTTGCTTCGCCTCTTTTCCCAAGTGAGTTACTCCATAACAGCTGCTAGCCCAGTGCTGTGAGAGCCTTCAGACTAAACATCTCTGAAGCTTCATGCTCACAAGCCGTGTCAGATACTACGCTTGATCTTAGCCAAAAGGCCAAGTAGTGATACGAGCCACGCACTCTGTTGAATCATGCTGAAAATACCATTGAGCAAGGAACACTATCATTTTTTTCTAACTGGTTGACTTCAGGTAGCACCTGTTTGATGCAGTTGGTGAAACACTCTTAAAAGATACCATTCCCCCTCCCTCTGTTCTCCAAATGGTTATGGATCTATTTGGACTTTGGAGTTGGTCTTAGCTGGGCAAAGATTATATTATCCCTTACTCCTTGCTTTAAGTCCTTGTCCCAACAGACTGATGCTGCTCACCAACTCAGCCGCCATCTTCTATAGTCCGGGTCTTCTTCAATTTCTGCTAATGATGTGTCAAAAGAGAAGTTCTTTGCTGCTGCTGCAGCCACAAAAGTGCTGCCTTCTACAAGGTGCTGCTCTGCACACTCACTGGCCCTGTTCTAACTGCCCAGCCCTTAAACGGGTTGTATTTTCCATGTGTTTGGAACTGAAGTGAACTCCCGTTTCCATCAAGCACTGATAATTTTCTGCCTAGTTTGTAGCAAATTTCACATTCTGTTGCTCTCAATGTTTTTGTAGCATCTTGCATTATATTTTGTAGCATGTTGCATTACTAGCATCTTACCCCCTCCCCCTTTCCATTTCAGATATACTTGCCCAAATATAAAAGTAAAGAAGAAGATGCAGCTCAGCTGGAGAAGAAACACGGCTTCCTCAAGAGCCACCTTCCTGGACAAAAAGTGACCTACCAGAATGGACACGGTGGAAGCCTTTTCTCCCCGCCTGTTTCAGGCTCGGCTCTGTGCGTCAGCTCGCCCTGTGAGGTCTCTCTCATCATGATGGTGGGAGACTCGGACACGGCAGCAGCAACAGCAAGCCGAGGCATCTGTTCGGACTTGGCCATCCTGGACAGTGCATTCCTCCTTTCTCAGGTCATCCCCTCCCTCCTCATGGGCTCCCTTGTCCAGTTCACGCAGTCCGTCACCGCTTACATGGCATCAGCTACTGGCTTTGGGCTGGTGGCCATTTACTTTGCAACCAAAGTGATCTTCGACAAAAGTGACATGGCCAAGTACTCTGTGTAGGAGGGGGAAAGGCTGCCGAGGGAATTTCGCACATTGAAACGGGTCAGGTGGTGCACATTGCGGCCTCTTTCTCCCTGCCAGGTTGTGCTGTAATGAGACGTGCAAAAAACAGAAAGAAAAAGAAACCCGGCTCCCTCTGGTTGAAGGAAAAGCAGTGCTAGGCTGATCTCAGGGTATCTAACAAAAGGGAGTCTGGTTTACTGTTGTCTGTTTCTCCCTAATGCCTTCATTGAAGTGCCTCTGCACAGAAGCCCGCAGCAGATGCTTGCGGGTGTGAAAAGTAAAATGCCATCCTTTCTGCAACAGGGTACTCGCTCTGATAGCTTTGTCACATGGCATGGCGGAATGGTGACACAGTGCAGGAAGGGACCAAAGCTGTAATTAACCTCACTTCTTAAGCCCCTGTTCACACCATTGCAAATGGGAAGGGGGTGGGCGCTGAGCTGCAATTGCTGGACTCTCTCTTCAGAGCTGTGTGGCCTGCAGGCCCAAACCCCACGCTGTCTGAAGCAAGGGAGCCTGCTTGGCACGAGTGGGCTTTCAGCAGGATTCATTAACGTTGCAGGCCCTGTGCTTCAGACATGGACACAATTGCCCTCGCAAGCCAACAGGACTTTAGTTGTGCCTTTAATACATTGCTGTTGCTTGGTCTTCATGTGAGAATACTGAGTCGTCACGCCCATGTAACATAACATTTTGGGTATTGGTGTGAACCAGGGGAAAAAAATTTGTGAAGGAGATTGCAGATGGGCACATCTGTAGAAGCAACCCCTTCCCCTGTTCCAGATGTGCCTGCAGGTTGGAACCCGAGATCAAGGTGGTGTAAATAAGCTGAGCAGGGCTCCGTAGGAGGGGGCTTGTTTAGCAGAGGATGCTGCGGCTGAGCTGGCGGCAAGTCTGCAGTGGCGTGACGGAAATTAAAACCTTGGTCATCATCCGATACTTTCCCCTGTGTATGCCCCAAATAGAGCTTGCTGTTTGTGCAAACAGAGAGGCTCGCATAAACGTAGGTTGACGAACATGCTCCTCTGGGGGACCTGGCTTTAAGTGACTGACTGGCGCAAACACATTACACTACCTTCCACTGTGCAGTCCTGAAAAAAGAGGCCTAGTGTGCCAGCAAGGTTGAAAAAAATAAAAACCTTGCTCCCGTTAAGGTGATGTGGCCAGCCTGGTTGTGCTAAAGGGCTCTGTGTTGTTGTTTTTTAAAGCACACCACCCAACTGTGTTTTTGTATACCACAAGGCAGAGGTTTTTTCCAGTGTGTGATCCAGTATTTCTACCACCCAGATAGTGTAGAGGCTCTCCTTAGGTTGAGCAAGCTATGCAAAGCAAACTGCTCTCTTTTGAAACATATTCTGTAGCTGTTGTCGCTGCTGCAAAGCAGTTTTCAATGAGCCGTTTGCAGAGCACCATGCAGTGCAGGCAGTTGTAACTTGGAGAGTGTGGAAATTGCACATCCAGTACCGAAAAAATTCAGGGAATGTAAAACTCTGCGATTGAGAAGCCAAACCCCTTCCCCCAAAGTAAGATACCCTGTCCTATTGGGTTCAAGAAATTTGAACAAAAAGAAGTAGCTGTAACTAGCTCAGGACCAAACTTGATATGATGTTAATTATGTGAATTCAATTAAGGTGCACTTTGTGGGGGGTGGAGTGGGTGGGATTATATTACTAGCAGCCTCAAAGAAGCTCCCTCCTGCTCTGGTCCTAACAAAAATTACCCCTCTAAAGCTTCTATTTGTTTGTCAGTGGAAACCTCTACTGGTGCCACAGGGAGCCTCCACTGGCACCAAAAACAAATTGCTAGGAGAGGAGAAAAGCATCCTGTTCTCCCAGTTGTCTACCAGATGCCCACAGGAAGCCTGAAAACATGACTTGAGCGCAGTAGCACTCTTTCCTTATATTGGCCACCCCTGGGAGTTGTAGTTCAGGGCCAAAGTTCTCCACAACTTTGGCAGGGAGAGGCTCTGACACACTCTTCTCCAGTCCTGGATAACCCCATCTGCCTGAGTAAATGTGTGCATCCAGTTGCTCTGCGTAGGAGCATGTCGACCAGAGTGAAGGAGACATTTCCTTTAATTTGCCTCTTCCACATTCTTACTCAGCCTATGGACTCGCCTAGTTGCTCTTGACCTTGACCTAACAGAAACAAACAGAGCAACAGCTTTCACCAGCTGCTGGTGGCAGTTCCTGCTCAGGGTTTGGGAGGATGGGAGGGCTTATCTTACAAGCAGCAAACCCCCCCCCCAACACCTGTGACACCTCTCCTCTCACAGCTATTCTACAAACCCTCTAGAGCAGCCTTTCTCAACCTGTGGGTCCCCAGATGCTGTTGAACTACAACTCCCATCGCCCCTAGCTAGCAAGGCCAGAGCTCAGGGATGATGGGAGTTGTAGTCCAACAACATCTGGGGACCCACAGGTTGAGAACCACTGATCTACAGAATCCTCGTTGATGGCTTAGGAACCCAGCATCTAGGTCAGGAATTTTCAGTCTTTTGAAATCAAGGACCCACCTTAAGCCCAAATGTGCAACGGATGACCCACTCCTTAACATTTTCCCATTGCACTTGGTTCTGTTGCTGTCATGACCCACCTTAGTTCAGGCTGTGACCCAGGAGTGAGTCCCAACCCACCAGCTGAAGACTAGGAAGTTGAGGAAATGCGAGTGGTGCTAGCCAGGAAGCAGGTTTAGAGGACAAGGGCAAGCTGGGAAATGGGAGAGGCTCCACTCCATCTCCAGTGTCAGGGGAGGGGTGTGTGTGTGTGTGTAAGATGCGCACACAACACTGTCTGGTGCGCCCCTTCTTAGAAGAATGGCATGCTGTTATTGGGCAAGTAAGGGCGACGACTGTGCTTGGAAACTGGCATGAGTACAAATTGGAATAAATCAGATCAAGCTTTCTTCTCGGGGAATTGCGCATTATGGGTGTGGTCTGAGTGATGGTTACAGATTACTATGTAGAAAAAAGTTTGAAGCTATTCGTACTCGAGGACACTGGCATCTGCAGCTAACAAGAGAGAGCCAAGGGCTTGAGGGATGGGTTTAGATGTGGGGGCTATAAGGGCTGAGTCGAATATGAAACTTTGAAGCTGTGTGCCATCCTCTTTGAGCCTCTTAATTTCCTGTTTCCTGGAAGCAATGAAATTTCTGTGGTTGTGCAGCTGGAAAAGAATATTTTGAAACTTAAAACTGCCCAGGCTGCTGCTTTCTACCATATTTTTTTTGCGTCTTAATTTGGGAGGGAAGAGAATGTTGCTGCTTCTAACCCTGCCCCAAGATGGATTAGAAGAATTTTATAGTTGGAAAGGACACTGCCTAGTCCAACACTGTCCAGTGCAGGAAGCTTGCATTGCTGCATCCCTGGCAGAAGGTTGCCCAGCCTCTGCTTAAATGCTTCCTGTGAGGGAGACCTCTCTAGCTCCCAATCTGTTCTGAGCATCCACCAGCTCCAGTGATCTGCAGTGTTGTATTCGGCAACCAGCCACAAACCTTCATCCCCTAGCAAATAGCCAGCTCTAAATAAGCACGGTTGTTAGGAACGCTCTCTTTTTACACTTGATATGGATCACTGAAGAATCCATCCAGCCACTGGGCAACGGATGGACACATCCCTACTATTGCTGTATGGCCAGTATTAGCTCAGATACATATGGGGTCCATTTTGCAAGCTTTCTTAGAGATCAGTTGGGTGGCAAGTTCTGACTCCTATGTTACTGATGTGCTTCATCTGTTGTCGTCCCCCCTGCCACCCTCCAGCTTTATTTAAAGGGAATTTATTATCATTGTTTGGGCCAGTGATTGGGTGGTGCCTTTACTTCTCGACAAGAGATTCCTTTGGATCATTTGTTTTGGGGGAATGTATTTCCCATTCTGTGTCTTGCAAAGCACTGTCTGCAAACAAATTGTGATTCTATTTATTTAGGGAAGTAAATATTTTGTACAGTTTATGTGCAGGGGGTATTAAAATTTATTAAGGAGTGGAAACCTTTTAAAAAAAGTGTATGTGTTTGTTTCTTAAATTAATGGATGCCAAGGTTTTTTTTAATTATTAAAAACAACTTGTATACCGCTTTACTACAGTGTCTCTAAGCGGTATACAAGAAATAAAATACAGAAAAGGTGAAAATCAGTTAAAACTATAAAATCTGATTTCAGCCAAAATGCCTGCTGGTAAAATGATATAAAATATAAAATAATATAAAATAGACACTGGATGACCTCTACTGGAAGAGAGCTCCACAAAATTGGGTCCATGTGGTAGATACAAACCATGCACCCGAGTCATTGGGGACCACTAACAGTGACTCCCCCAAAAACCTCAATGATCAGGCAGGGATATAAGGGATTAGGTGGTCCTTGAGGCACCCTGGACCCAAGTTGTTAAGGACCTTATAAATTCATACAAGAATATTGAACCCGGCCTAGTAGCATATGGGCAACCAGTGCAAGCTTTTGAGCACTGCTGTCTTTCCCCATCAACAGCTACCTGCAGCATTTGGTGCCAGTTAGAGCCTCTGGACCAGGCCCAAGAGTAGACCCTCCTGGAGCACATGGCCATAATCAAGTCTTGAGTTACTAATGCGTGAATCACTGTGGCCGCACTACCCGTTTCCAAGAATGGCTGTCGTTGATGCACAAACTGTAGGTGGTAAAAGGCACTAGAATGGACCCAGGAACAACACGAAAATCTGTTCTTTCAGTGGTAGTGCAACCCCATTCAGAACAGACTAATACCCTTGTGGTGGTAAGAAAGGTTACGTTCCAGCTGTACACATCCATGCATAAGAAATGGAAGAAAGGGGAAATTGTGAAGAAAGAGTATACATGAGTAGCCAGCAGTTGCAGGGTGAAGGTCAGGTGGGCTGAAGCTCAGAATGAGAGAGGTTAAAAATAATATTTCAGGCTTATTCAGCCATGTTTGAAGCAAGACGAAGAATGTGCAAGTAGGTGCTTTGCATGGAGAAGGAGAAATGCTATTGGGTGACAGAGATGGCAGAACTGCTCAATGTCTATTTGACTCTGTCTTCAATCAAAAGGAAAGCAGTGCCCATGCTTGTGATAACAGAATAAACTACGCAAGGAGTGAGATGAAGCCCAAGATAGAAAAAGAGGGAGTATGAGAACACCTGACTACTTTAAATGAATTCAGCTCTCCAGGGCCTGGTGAGCTGCACCCAAGGGTACTAAAAGAGCCTGCAGATGTAATCTCAGATCTTTGAGAATTATTGGAGAACAGGTGAGCTCCCTGGAGACTGTTCTCCCCATCTTCAAAAAGGGGAAAAAAGAAGATCCAGGTAACTACCAACTTATAGCTTGACGTCAATACCAGGAAGGGTCCTAGAACAGTTGGTCTTTAAGCACTTAGAAAAGGATGCTGTGATTATTAAGCCCCAGCATGGGTTTCCTCCCAAACAAGCCATGCCAGACAGCTCTACAATTCTGTGATTCTGCGAGCCTTCATCCAGGTAAGTAGGAGAATTACACAGTTCAAAGATGCATTCCAGCCAGGCAAAGATGCTCAAGGAAGTCACTGAGCAGGGGCAGTGAAAGGTGTGGCCTACAGAGAAAAGGAATGGCCTGGAGCAGGCATTCCCAACCTTCGGCCCTCCAGATGTTTTGGACTACAATTCCCATCATCCCTGACCACTGGTCCTGTTAGCCAGGGATCATGGGAGTTGTAGGCCAAAACATCTGGAGGGCTGCAGGTTGGGGATGCCTGGCCTAGAGACAGCCACAAATTGGCCCACATGCCAGAGGCTCCCCACCACTGGTATAAACACACATGTGAAAAACTGAGCTCAGTATTTTCTTTGCTAAAGCTTCTATATGGAATTCCATTAGGCTTCCCAGAGAACTACATTGGGTGTGGTGGGGATGGCAGATTTAAATTTTACCCATCACTGAATATTCATGCCTGGAGGGGGGGCAGAACCACCCACTGATTGCTGTCTGTCATGCAGCTGGTGGCACAACGTCAGAAAGGCAAAAGTGTACACAAACAGAACAAGGCAATAGGAAGTAGAACATGTTTGCCTCAAAACAACCTTTGGCCTCTCTTAACGAACACCCAGAATTTGCTAAGGCAAGGATGGTGAATTATTTTTCTTCCTGAGATTTTATATTAACCTAATTTCTACTGCAACGCTGAATGAAGAAAAAAGTTGCAGGATCATCCTTTGAGGCTATTTCTGAATTTGCAAGTATAAAATCATAGAATGGTAGAGTTGGATAGGACTCTGAGGGTCATCTTAAGTTCAACTCCCTGCAATGAAGGAGCTCAACTAAAGCACTCATGACAGATGGCCCTCCAACCTCTGCTTAAAAACCTCCAAGGAAGGAGAGCCCACAATATCCATTCCACTGCTGAACATCTCTTACTGTCAGAAAGTTCTTCCTGATGTTTAGTCAGCATCTCCTTCCTTTCTTGTAACTTGAATCCATTGGTTCAAGTTCTACACCACAGAGCCGAAGAAAACAAGCTTGTTCCATGTGACAGCCCTTTAGATATCTCAAGATGGCTATCAGATCTGCTCTCAGTCTCTGTTTTTCCAGGCTAAACATACCCAGCTCCCTCAACTGTTCCTCATAAGGCTTGGTTTCCAGACCCTGGATCATCTTGGTGGCCTTCCTCTGCAAAGGATCTGGTTGCAAAAATAAAGGCGTTATGAACAGAAATCTGACCAACACTTATCTAATATGGTAACCCTAGGCCCCAGCACTGATAAATATCGAGGACAAAATGGGAATAGGGGATGTAGTACTAGATATAATATAGACTGGTAGAGATGAATATGTGCAAAGGGTTCTGCTTTAACAGGTAATGTCGCACTTAAAACTTTTTTTAAGGTCTTAGTAGTATTGTATGTACAGTCCCCCCCCCCAGTTGATGCTGTCACTAATAAGCTCTTAGCTGCCTGTATGCTGGGAGTGTAGCATTTATCTTGCCAAAAGCTGAGCATATCTTCAAAGCCATTAAAGAAATTAGTGGAACAACAACAAGCCATTGGCTGAGGAGTGGCTTAAAGCGTGGAATGCTATGCTGTTGAATAAACTAACAGTAGTAATTAGATCTAAATTAGGGGGAAATCTCAGCTATAAATGATGATTTTGAGAAATGGAAGGAGGGGACTACTTTGGGGTATGCTTCCATTTATTTTAGCATTTAAAAAGGAGGAACAGCCCAAGAGCCAGAGAAATTTGGCAACCGACCCACTGATACAGGCCCATGCAACTTTAGGCTTGGAAATAAATCTGGTTTGTTTTCACTGCTTCAGTTGCAGACCAACTTCCT